TGTGGAGGCAAGTGAAGCCCAAGTTTCGTGCAACAGAAAATGGAATTCAAGAAAGGGATGGAGGAGAGGAATGAGTCCATGAAGAAATACCTTTGGAGGAAAGAATGGCTCCAAGGGGTGTGGTAAGAGGCTCAGAGAAGAAAGGCCAGTGGAAGTCAATGCTTAGATTATGGCAGTAAGGTGAGAAGTGGAGAAATGCAATAGGTTGAGGGAAACGATGTTTGAAAAGAAAATTGAGAGAGAGAAAAAAGTCATTGGTATAAGCAAATGACTGGGATTAATGCCATCTGGGAAGACCACACATACAATGGATGAACCCACACATCTGAAATCATTAAAACGAATATGAATGGTTAGCTGTTGGGGGTGGGGCAGGGGAGAAGGGAAAGTTCCCAGAAGAGAAACTTGATAGCAGGCAAGGAGGTGAGGGAAGAAGTTAGTACAGGCAGGTCCAGTGCCAATACTGATGCACTTGGTTTTCATTTGGTTTGATATAGTTTTGTCTATGCACTGGCTACCTGTCCCACACCTCCTCCAACTCACACTTCTCTATGGAGAGCAGACTGTGAGATTGAAAAGAGGAGGGAAGTATATTAGAGAGAGAAAAAAAGGGAAAGAAGAGTATAAGGCATAAGAAAATACAAAGAAGGAGCTAAAGAAGATGTCCAAAGGCTGGGAAGGTGGCTCAGTGTAGAGCGCTTGCCTTGCATGCATAAGGCCCTGGGTTCGATTCTTCAGCACCACATAAGCAGAAAAAGCTGCAAGTGGTGCTGTGGCTCAAGTGGTAGAGCGCTAACCTTGAGCTGAAGAGCTCAGGGACAGTGTCCAGGCCCAGAGTTCAGGCCCCACAACCCACAACAACAACAAAAAAAAGGAGGAGGGGGAGGGGTGAGGTGGAGGAGGAGGCGGCAGCCAAGAACTAAAATCCTGTAAATGGCTTTTCATGCCTTTAGGTATTATTTCAGCATCCTTGAATACAGCTGTGCTGCATCTCTAGACTGGCAGTGGCAGGTCCTTGCCTTAGTGCGTGGCTCCACTTGTCCATGTCTGTGTGATGCTGTGTTCTTTAGTAATCTGTGGTAGTGTATGTTGTGTGGTTTGGAGCATCTATTTTTTTTTTTTGGTCCGGTCGTGGGGCCTGAACTCTGGGCCTAGGCACTGTCCCTCAGCTCTTCAGCTCAAGGCTAGTGCTCTACCACTTGAGCCACAGCGCCACTTCTGGCTTTTTTCTTTTTGCTTATGTGGTGCTGAGGAATCGAACCCAGGGCCTTGAGCATGCAAGGCAAGCGCTCTACCACTGAGCCACCTTCCCAGCCCTGGAGCATCTATTTCTATTTGTTGAGAAAAGAAGTCAAAAGCAGCCAAAGCTCAGAGTACTTGCCCATCATGAACAAGTAAGACCCTGAGTTCAACCCCCAGCACCACAGCGGGGGGGAAACAGGCAGCCAATAGTAGGCACTCAGAATAGCCAGGGTAGGGGGGGGCCTTCAAATGAGACTCAGATACATTGACACAAACAGCTGCGAAGGCTGTCTTTTACAGCCCCTTACCTCCCTCTCTCTTCACTGCATCTGGATTCTGTATTCCCTCTGCTGCTCTTTCAGGCTGGAGGTGAGAGAGGAGGCTCTGAGTAGGGAGAACTGGAACCACATCACTGCTGGACCATTGGCTGACAGCTGATGTGCAGAAAGGACAGAGCCTGGGATTGTGCTCTGGGCTTGGCAGCCACAGGGATGTAGCAAGAGGTGGGCACGAGTGGCCATGGCTCGCTCAGTGTCTCACTTCAGAGCCAGGGGTTCCTGGCACAGTATGCTGTGGCCGGAAAACCTGACTGCTCAGGAATTCTATGCTCCCATTTGTCTACTTCTACGGTCAACTCACCTCAGGCCAGGAACTCTCTGTACTGGGGTACTTTTGCCTTGTAGACTACAGTAACCTAACCTTACCTTATCACATAATCTGAAGACACCTTTTCCCACACCCCATCTCTTGGGCCCCTTGCAGGCATTCTGACCCCTCTCCCAACCAAGTAGCACACTTTCCAGGATGTGTATTTGGAATCCCTAGCCACCTGTGGTTGCACCTACGCCTGTACCCTTGCCTGACACTTCCAAGCATGCAGAACATCCATTGGGACACATCTATAGCTCACAGCCTTCGCTGCAGACTCAGCCTCAGCTGGGTCTGCACACTCCTCCAGCCTCTCATACTCTATTGTCTGTGTGGGACACCGTATACTCGGTGCCCTCATGTTCCCTGGGTGAAGCTCTTTCTTTCTTCCACAGAGCACGCTGGACAGCCTGGAGCTGGAGCCCACCTACAATCCCCTGCATGTTAAAAGTCACCTGTACTCATACCTGAGCAGTACTTTTGCCAAGCCTCAGGGGCGGCTTTACACAGGCTGGGAGACCCGGACTCCACGAAAGGTATGTCTTCCCTTCTATACCCCTTATATCCCATGCCCCCACTTCATACAGAGGCCAAAGGAGTCCTCCATCCCTATTGTCATAGCCTAACCCAAGGAAATAGCCCAACTCTCCTAAGAAGTTCTCCTAGATGGAAGGAAGAACCAGACCCAGGGAGAAAAAAGAAAAAGACAACTGATACTATGATCCTTATTGGGTAGGAGGCTAGTCTGCTTAGGCATTTACATATGCTAGTATTCAGGTGGGTTGGCTGTCGGCTTTGTTGTTGTTGCTGTTGTTGAGATAAGAGTCTTACTATGTAGTCCAGTCTGGCCTCCATTCTCCTGCCCCAGCCTCTCCAATGCTAGGATTCTAGGCTTTTGAAGCATGAACCTAGATTTGTGCTTAGGTGTTGTTTTGTTGGGGGGAGGGGGTTGTTTGTTTGTTTTGTCTGAGACCAGGACTCAAACTCAGTATCTGAAACTTGCTTTTGTCATTGGCTGGTGCTGTACTACCTGAGCCTCCAGCCACTAGGTGTTTTAATAATCGTATTTATAACTCATTAGTCATTTAACAGGCCATTATCCTATTAACTAAACTCTCACTGCAACCACACCCCTCTCCTTGGAAGAAAAGGCTGAAGGGAAAATGGGAAAAGAACTGCCCAAGGGAAAGAAAAGAACCTCAGTAGGACACCAGTCATTAGTCAGGCTTTATGATAAGTACTTTTACTTACAGCCTCACCTTAACCCTCCCTAAAGGGTAGGGCTGCAGTCAGTTACAGAGGCGGAAAGGAAAGCTGATCAAGGAAATAGCTTGGAGATTGGGCCCTTAGTGAAGTCAGAAGAAAAAATGAAGGTGAGGGCTGGGAAGGTGGCTCAGTGGTAGAGCGCTTGCCTTGCATGCCTGAGGCCCTGGGTTCAATTCCTTAGCAACACATAAGCAAAAAGAAAGAAAGCTAGAAGTGGTGCTGTGGCTCAAGTGGTAGAGCATTAGCCTTGAGCTGAAGAGCTAAGGGACAGCACCCAGACCCAGAGTTCAGGCTCCACGACTGGACCCAAAAAAAAAAAAAAAAAAAAAGTGAAGGTGAAGTGTTTTCATGAAACCCATATTCTATAATATTTGGGTTTCCTTTTGCTCTTATCAATTTTTCCTAGTTTTTCAGAAACAGTCTTTACAAAAAATTCATTGTCCCTTACCTAAACTATAGGAGAAGGATGTTTCCAAACTCAACCAATTTAGAGATGACAAAAATGACTAGATGCATGGGAGCAGAAGCCATCACAGAACAGGTTGATGGGAAAGCTGACAGAGGAGGGACACTGGACAAGCAGAGAGTACTGTAGAGTTGCAATGCAGGATTCCACAGTCTGTGTTCTGGGCCTTGAATCTGTCACTTTAGGGATGGGACATAAAAGAGTTAAGAGGGCATGAAGGACTAGAAGCCCAACAGGGAACAAAAGAGCTCAAAACTGTCTGGTCTTCAGAGACGAACCCTGGTTACTCTCTTTGCAGGCTGGGCAATCGCAGACCAACCGAGTTCGAGCCACGGTGGTTCCTCTGCCAGTGACCCCAGCCCCATGTGCATCGAAGATGCAAGCAGCCAGAAAGGATTCCTCAGAAACTTTCCTGCCTTCTCAGCCAGAGGAAGAGTATTCTTCCCAACCCTAAGTCATTTATGCCAAAGCACAGCAGCCCTGCTCCCCATGCCCCTGCTCCCCCACATCCATGCCAAGGCATAAAAATGGCTGTGTTAGGTCTGACCGGTCTTCCATCTACCTAAGCCTCTGTGAGCTCAAGCTAACTGAGAAACAGAGACTTCCTTCCCTATATCCCCAGAGCTGCCACCACCCTACTTCCTTTTCCTAGCATCAACTCTTTCTTTTGGATCATTTGACACTGTGGACACAAATGAAAAGTAAACACCTAGTAAGCCTCCACCATTACCGGGAGCATACTCAGCCAATCAGATCACCTTTTGGAAACTGCAACTCAGGAATAAGGATGAGGTTTGCAAATCTATTGAACCTGGCATTATTCCAGAGCAAGTGCCCTTCCCAGTACACCCAACTAAGGTCATTTCCTTCAGCTCCAAAAGGACAAGTGCTTGGTGATTGGTACCTGCATGCAAAGTATGTATGTCAGGGGCAGAGGGTATATAGAACAAGGGTTGTCACAGAGCCAAGTACAGAAGAAAGGATGTTGTGAAAATTCCCCTCCCCAACATCTGGCCCATTTTCCTGTCAGCTTCCTCATGCACAGAATAATAGCTATCATTTGTAAACCACTTTCCCTGTGCTTCAGATTACATTAAGCACTTGAGAAATGTATCATTTGCATACCAAGAATTTTGTGAGGTGGAGCCCATTATTAGTTTTCTCACACTTTATACTAAGAGGCAACAGGTGAGACTCACAGCATAGAGTCCAGACCACGTGGGCCTGAAATGACTAAGCTCTAAGCACCTATACTCTAGGCTTCCCTCCCTGAGGCCCTTTCCTCCCAAGGCCCCAAACATATTCCTAGGTGTCCTCTTTATCTCACCCTCACCCTTGCCCTGTGTCCCCTCTGGGTCTATCCACTCACAGAGACTGCTTAAACTCAAACTGACTTTAATGTGAATTTTTTTAATGTAAAAAATACATCTCTGATAAAGAACAGTGCAGGGAAAAAGATCAAGGCAACCTCTAAACAGGCACCTCAAACTGCACCCACACTGACTGAGTACCACTTTTCACAGACCTGGTGCTCCTTGGGGGAATGTAGAGGTGCTAACCCTCGGCAGAGGTCACCCCTCAGCTGGGCCATCTGCTCCACTTCCTAGGACTTCCTGGAACTGACAGTCCTTCCTCTGACCCCTCTGGTCCTCAGGTTTCACATGAGTCCCTCCCACCCTCTTGTTCCTGCTGGTTCTAACGAGCTGCTTTGATTCCCAGTGCCATCTTCCCATGTACTCCCTTTCAGGTGGAGCCCTCTGATTTGACCTCAGCCCTGTCAGTCTCTACTCTAGAAAGCCCACAGTCCCATCCCCCTGAAGCCCCACTTTTCTGGACCTTACTGTACAGGGCAGTGTCTTGGCTTTGGCTTTTGCTGCTGATGCTAGTACCAGGTTCAGAAAAGGCCAAGCCCTGAGGCTTGGGAGCTGGGCGGGGCTTTGTACTTCGAGGGGGTGGCACAGCATAATCATCAGTAGCTGGGTTGTAGGGGAGTTCATAGCCCTCCTCCTTCACCCGAGCCTGGCACCACCACGCATCCTTGGGCTCCTGAGGTAGATCATACAGGCCCCGGGGCTGAGCTGGGGCCAAGCCTTCAGGTTCATCATAGATGGGGTCCTCTTTGCAATCTGTCAACTTGGCCTTCAGCAACTGTTGCTGCACATGCTCATACAAGTCCCAATAGAGAGGTTTCTTTGACTGAACTCCCTCTTCTGCCTGAGCAGGTGTGCTGTCCACCGGGTCTGAGTATACACAGTCCTTCAAAGGGCCTGCAGGAATGCGCAGGGAATCTAAGGGCTCTGCATATAGGGCTGGGGGGCTGCCCAGCTCCTGGGGACTAGAAGGGGAAGCCAACTTCCCTTCGGCCACCTCTCCTTCATGGGAGTCAGCTCTGAGGACATCATGTCCCTGTCCTGCCTTTCCTTGAGCCTTCTGCCGTTGAATAGCAGACTCCACTGCCTGAAAGATGTCATTTCCCTGTGTTGTCTGGAAAGTGAAGGTTCCAGGGCCAGAGGGGCAGCGTCGACCAGCCTCAAAGGAGAACATGACCTAAGGAGGAGGTGGAGGGAAACACATTACTACCAGAAGCACAATAGAGATAAGGCCACAGGTCCTGAGCTAGTTACAAGTTCAATTCAAGAACTAGTTCTTCTACAAAGAAGAGACCACCTAAGAGCCTTAATGTAGGAAGAAAAGGAAATCTAAAGGGCAGAACTTCACACCTTCCTGACCAGCCCCACCTCACCTACAGCTGCCCAACCTGACAATCCTCCCACACAGGCCCGAACCTTGTCTCGGCCATAGCGACGCAACAGCGTGTAGGGCCAGGAAAGGAGTGGTTCCAGGATCTGACTCTGAGTCCCCAAGGTGAGGAGAGTCAGTTTTTCAGCCTCTACCCTCAGCATGTAGGAACCGTGAAGGTCACAGCGCTCAGAGGCCTCAGTCCTCTGCACAGTTACCCAGAACTGGGATCCTGAAAGGAATACACAATTAGACGGGGAGTCTAGGGAGAGGGTTCTGGAGGCAGGGTAGACTGAAGAACTCACTTGAAAGTCAGATCTCAAGGTCTTCCTACTTCTCGATGCGTCCTTAGACTCTCTCATGTTCCCACTCCCCAAGAGCATCCCTTCTCCTCCATCCCTGCCCAGGCTTCCCTGCCATCTACCTTCCCAGGTGGGGCTATAGAGAGAGTTCTCCAGCATCTCCAAGGCTGAAAGCTTCGGTGGGTTCTTGGGTGGGTTCTCACCCTGCGCCACAGCCCAGCCGCCTTTCTGCAATAGAGAGAGATCACGGAGGAACCCCCTTTAATCCTCTCAGTGCAGCTCCCGGGGTCAGGGGTGCCCAACTCACACCCATTTGGACCCAGTCAGTCCCTGGGCAGCGCCAGGCCCTCACCGGAAAGGCGTTCCGACACAACGTCTGCACCCAGGCCACGCTGGACAGTGCGTCCGCCGCTAGCAGGTGTGATCGCTGGGCAGTGTCCAGGCGGAAGGCAGTGTGGCCCGGCTCAGGTGGACTCTCCATGGCCACAGGCGCGACGCTCACACACTCAGCCAGTCGGATCACCTTGCAGTCCAGGCGGCGCGAGCCCCCTCGGCCACCGCCGCCGGAGCTCGACCCCTTGTGGTCAAAGAACTCGAGCCGCGCGACGCCGTGGGGACTGGCGGGGTAGAGCACGGCCCAGGTCTTCCTCCACCTCTGGGAGAGAGCGAGCGAGACGCCAGAGTGCGCGAGCAGCACGCGCCCCGCGCGCCCCCCGCGCGCCCCGCGGGGAAGGAGGGACGGGGGGGGGCAGGCCGACTTGGTGTCGGGGGCTTCCCAACCACGCAGGTTTCCCAGGGTCTTCCCAGCACCCAGGAGGGCATACCAGGAAACGCCACGCGCTTCTCCGGGGGGACGGGCAAAGCAACTTGGACGGGACGTCCCGGGGCGCTCCCACCTGCTTCCCGCCCTTTCCTTCCAGCGGATGAAGTTCGACCTCCCCTGGTCCCCGCTACCTTCGTCCCGAAGCGCTGACTCTGCAGAAAGAGCGGCCCTTCCATCACAGCCCCGTCCATGGCCCCCGGAGGTTCCTTCCGCGCTTGGCCCCGAGGTCGGAGGGCGGGGCCGGGGCGGGGCCTGCTCTGCCGGAGGCGTTCCCGCCTCTCCGCGGGCCCCTGCGGCGGGGAGGTGGGCGGGAGGGGGGTGGGGGACGGTGGCGGGGCAGGGGGGGGAGGGGAGGGAGAAGAACGCGGGGTCCCCAGATGAAGCCCAGCGGAGCGCTCCCCACGCCACCCCCCCACCCCGGAGAGCGCAGTGGGGGGGCTCCACTCCGAGAAACTTCCGTGGTTTCAGCCCCAGGGCCCTGAGCTCGCGTGTGATGTCAAATGCTTACGGTGACATCACCCGCGGGCACCCGAGGGTACCGGGGAGCCCAAATGGGCCCAGGGAGCTTCAGTTGCTGTCTCCAGACCCTGCCGTTGGACTCGAGTTGGCCTGGGCTGTGTACTCCAGCGGGGGGATGGAGGAAGGGCTGGGGCGGGGTGGGGGGGCAGCCTCCCCTCGCCTCGGGCACTGTCGCCCGGACCACTCCGCGGTCCCGGGGTCGCTGGCAAGCCCAGCTACCTGGTCCCTGCTGCCTGCCCCCCCCCCCGCCCCCCAGCCTGCGGGAAAAGAACGCTTCGTGGAGCCTGGAGGGTCAGAGGAAGAGGAGGAGGTGGCTCTGCCGGCCGCGGCCAGCTCCACCAGGGACAGGGGGAGACCTAGGGGAGGGAACTGGCCAGGCAGGAATGGAGGGAGAACGCGGAATGTGGGAGGGCTCAGGGGACGGGGGAGGGGCCGGCGCCAGGGGGGAGGAAGGGGGGGTCCAGTCTCCCCTGGCCGAGCACTTTTTTTTTTTTTTTTTTTTGGAATCACTAAAACTAATCTCCAGGACCAGGACTCTTCTCCCAGCCTCTAGGGCCCTGCCAAAGGTAGGGGAGTCGTCGCGCGCTGAGGGGCCTGCAGGAAGGGGAGTTGGGGATGAAGAGGATGGTGGAGGGACCAGAGGATGGTGGAGGGACCAAAAACAAGGGATGATGTGAGTGAGCTGGGGTCGGAGGGAAGCCAACCAAACCGAGTTTTCTTATCGTCCGAGTGGAGTGATATCCCAGGAGGGTGGGCAGAAGCAGATACTTGGAATGGGGGCTGCATGGGGCTTCCATATAGGGCGGCTGGGAGAGTCCTAATACTGGGAGGGGGCTCTGCTGAGCGGCCCTACCCCTGGGCCCCCGAGGCAAAATGTGCCCCAGAACAAAGCTGTCTTTTGAGCTGTTTGTCTGGAATAGGGGAAGTATTGGGGCGGGGGGAGGGCTGGCTGTAGAGGGGCTGCTCTCAGCCCTGGACAGAGAAGGCCTTGGCTGAGAACTGTAACCAGCTCTGGCCACTGGGTTGCCGGGTGACAGCGGGCAGTTGTGTTGGCAGGAAGCTTGGATAACCGCACCCTAAACGCTCTAGAGAATGGAGTCGGATGGTCCTGGCCCCCTTGACCCTTCAGGGCATCAGGGAGCTAATGTGCTGGGAAAGGTGTGCTGAGGATTCTCCATGTGCACTGGGCCCATATAGGAATCTGCTAGAAATCTCATTCAAAGGATCTGAGATCTAAGGATCTTGTAGGCTCTCTTCTCCTGCCTCTCTCTACAAGCAGTACAGCTTATCTGCATCTCTGTGGCTGAATGGAGTCATCTGGTCATGGCTCTGGTAGCTGCTCCTGGGCTCTTGTCCCTTCCTCTCCTATCCCGGTGTTTTCTGCACCTCTCCCTCATTCTGGGACACTGTGTGCTTGTTGTCTCTCCACCACCACCTTCTTCTTCTTCTTCTTCAGCACGTTTCTTTCTGTTTTCCTCCATTCCCACAGTCTCCTTCGGCACATCCTGTCCGTCTGGATCTTCCTTTCTATGTGCCGGTTCTCTATCTTGACCATTTCAGCTTCTCAGTCTCTAACTTTGCTATTTTAATCTCAGATCCCTCAGATTGGTGATGGGGGTAAATGTAGATGATGATGACAGAACTAGAGAAGGACACTGTGGAATGTAAAAACTAATTATAGAAGTCGCATTATTTACAGAAGGGAAGGAAAGACTCCCTCCCGCACCCCCAACCTGGGTCTCTAAGGTTGTGACTCTGTCAGCTCTCATTTAGTGTATGTCTCTCTCTCCTTATCTCTTGAACCTGGAGGCTCCCTCCTCCTCTTCCTCCCTCTCCTACTCTTCCTCCCCCCACCCTGTCCTCTCTCCCCCTCCTGTCTCCTTCCCTGTCTGCCTTCCAGGCCTCCCTTGCCATGCAGCCCATCACTGTCTGGCAGTGGAGCGCATGGGGGCTGCTGCCGTGCCTGCTGTGCAGTTTGAGCTTGGGGTCTCCATCACCTTCCACTGTCACAGAGAAGAAGGCAGGAAGCCAAGGGCTAAGGTTCCGGCTGGCTGGCTTCCCCAGGAAGCCCTATGAGGGCCGCGTGGAGATACAGAGAGCTGGTGAATGGGGCACTATCTGCGATGATGACTTCACACTGCAGGCTGCCCATGTCCTCTGCCGAGAGCTGGGTTTCACAGAGGCTACGGGCTGGACCCACAGTGCCAAATATGGCCCTGGAACAGGTGAGCAATGTTCTAGGCATAGCTTGGGTAATATCTAAGTATGGTCAAAGTGCAGAAAGACAACCCATGTCAAGTAAACCCACGGGTGACAAACCAACTAATACAGTTACCTGGAGAGCTCTGTGGCCTTAAGCTACTGAGAGCTTTCTGTGGGCCTCAGGTGTGCCTTGTGCGCAATGGCTATAGATGATCTATGAGTTGCTTTCTATTGCAAAAGTAGAATTCTACAAGAGAAGCTTAGAGACAAGTGGTCCATGTATGATGAAAGTACTGTTGATTTCATGGGAAGCTGAGAGCAGGAAAATGTCTGGATGTCCCCCAATCAGAAGGGATCACAAATGCTGCAGACAAAATCAGGCTACAAGCCTGAACTAAAACTAACAAGTAAACCATTGAGATACATTGTATACATGTGTGGAAATGTCACAGTGAAACTCATCTTGTACAACTAATGTATGCTAATTAAAAGAAATCTCTTAGCCAGGCACTAGTGGCTTACACCTATAATCCTAGCTATTCAGAAGGTTGAGATCTGAGGATCGAGGTTCAAAGCCAGCACAGGCAGAAAAGACTCTGAGAGCCTTACTTCCAATTAATCAGCAAAAAGCCAAAAATAGAAGTATGGTTCAAATGGTAGGTACCAGCCTTGAGTGAAAAAGCCAACCAAGCCAGGAACACAAGGTGCTAAGTTCAAACCCTAGTACCAACACAAAGGAAGAATGGAGGTGGGGATCTTTTAAGCATTGTTATATACCTAGGAGGGAAGGAGGGAGGGAGGGAGGGAAAGAGGGAGGGGGAACATTTGTAACAAGGGTGGGGGTGAGTAGGGTACTGTTTAGGAACAATTCTCATTAAGGCCTGGAGGCACTGGCACTGTATGGGCCAGCAGTGAGCTTGAAAGACCAAAATAAATACAATCTGCAGCTAATCCCCCAATTCCCACTAATTTACAGCCACCTCTGGAATGAAGTGTTACTTGTAGATGCTACATTTTGAGAACAACTGTAGAAAATAGAAATGCTTTCAGGGAAGAGCGGCCCAGATGTGAAAGAGCCAAAAGCCAAGTTTCAAGAGACATAGCTGAAGAAACCAAGAATCTGGTGTAGAATCAAAAGGCCTTGGAGAGGCCAGGAGTGTATGTAATTCCTGGTGGTAGAGGGCCCGCCCCGCAATATGAGCCCCCACCCTCCACCCCCAGTTTAAAACCTAGTAGTGCCAAAAAAAAAAAAAAAAGCCTTGGGTAACATTTACATAATGGTCGTCTTCAAATATGGGAAGGACATTCATATGGCCTAGGGTTATTTTCTGGATGGCATCAAAGGGCTGAATCAGACTTGGAGAAAGTCATAAAGATGAATGAAGACTTTCTGATGGCTGTTGGGTCTGCCGGGCAGGAGTGTAAGTCCTGTTGAAATATGAATAAGAGGTCTCTGCACATTTGCTGTGGCAGTTACCTTTGAGGCAGCACTCATTTGAGAAGTCAGGAATATGCATGTGGCCCACACAGAGAAAACAAGGGACTACATGGCAGCACAAGCAGGATAAGAATGTCCTGGGCTGGGAAGGTGGCTCAGTGGTAGAGCGCTTGCCTCGCATGCCTGAGGTCCTGGGTTCGATTCCTCAGCACCACATAAGCAGAAAAAGCCAGAAGTGGCGCTGTGGCTCCAGTGGTAAAGTACTAGCCTTGAGCTGAAGAGCTGAGGGAGGCCCAGAGTTCAGGCCCCAAGACCGGCAAAAAAAAAGAATGTCCTGTGTGGGAGAATGTGAAGCTGAGGTCAAAGGATCAGTTTGACCAATAAGCTACACTATTAAGAAGCATTCATGTAACTATTGATGGATCAGGACTGATCAGAACTTCATTGTTGATTCTTGGCTTTGTATTCATCCTAATAAATTCTTTTTTTTTTTTGGGTCCGGTTATGGGGCCTGAACCCTGGGCCTGGGCGATGTCCCTCAGCTCTTCAGCTCAAGGCTAGCGCTCTACCACTTGAGCCACAGCGCCATTTCCGGCTTTTTTCTTATGTGGTGCTAAGGAATCGAACCCAGGGCCTCAGGCATGCAAAGCAAGCACTCTACCACTGAGCCAACTTCCCAGCCCCTCATCCTAATAAATTCTTGAGCATTGCCAGATCAGCTCCAATCATACATAAATGTTATGCCTCCTTTCCTCTTTCACTCAGGTGGGTACTATCCTGTATCTTCCCCCTTTTTTCAACAGAAAAAAAAAAAATCAGGATCATTCTCACAGTGAGGTATAAAGCTATCATATTTCCTTTCTCCAGCGTCCCCTCACCCCATCCTTACCATCCTTACTTCCCAAATGTCTCCATCTTTTCACCTTCCCTCCACAGGCCGAATCTGGCTGGACAACCTGAGCTGCAGTGGGACTGAACAGAGTGTGGCAGAATGCACCTCTCGGGGCTGGGGCAACAGTGATTGTACCCATGATGAGGACGCAGGGGTCATCTGCAAGGACCAGCGCCTCCC